CATTGTTCTTTTATTTTAGATATCGTTCTTAATATTATTTGCAACATTATTATATTATTATTTAATTCTAACTGACCTTTTTTCTTACCATAATACTTAAAATATTATTCTTTTTTACATTAATTTCTAATGCGACTGTACATTTACAAGATCTAGAAGCAGGTAGAAAAGGTCCAAGTGACCGTTTGGGGACAAGTTAACATTTGCCTGCTATTTTTTTATTATTTGCCTTTCAAGGTTCAGCTGTTTTCTCCTCTATTTCTTTTTTCAGTTGTGCTACGTATCTCGCCACGTGTAGACGTATTAAAAATTGTGAACACTATTTTCAATTAAGTGGATATAATTCAGAGTTTTGCGTGCAGAATTTTTCATTTAGTGATAAGCTTGTGGCTTTCTTTAATAGTTCATCATGAGTGATTGTTTTATTTGTAAAAAGCCTCTCGGGGATGACAAAATAAGAACTGTGAAAGCTAGAGGAGTAAAAACGTTGCTTGATCGAGCAAAAGCCAAAAACGATGTAGAAAATGAACAATTTTTACAAACTGTTTCGGAAGTAACTGTGCATACGCCTTTGCCTCGTCGTCAGATCGTCTGAGAACAAGGTCCAGAATGCTTTTTTTTGTACCTTCATTTCGTACCTGACAGATCGTCCTCTGCCGGCTTTGACGCAAAGGACTCTGATCTGCAAATGTTTCTGCACAAATGAAGCAATTAAGCGAAAAATCAAAATCTGCCTCTACAATTTCTGAAACTGAAGATGATTTTTGCGTATGCACAGTTACTTCCGAAACAGTTTGTAAAATTTGTTTTTACTCCTGTAGCTTTCACAGTTCTTATTTTGTCATCCCCGAGAGGCTTTTTACAAATAAAACAATCACTCATGATGAACTATTAAAGAAAGCCACAAGCTTATCACTAAATGAAAAATTCTGCACGCAAAACTCTGAATTCTATCTGCTTAATTGAAAATAGTGTTCACAATTTTTAATACGTCTACACGTGGCGAGAAACGTAGCACAACTGAAAAAAGAAATAGAGGAGAAAACAGCTGTACCTTGAAACGCAAATAATAAAAAAATAGCAGGCAAATGTTAACTTGTCCCCAAACGGTAACTTGGACCTTTTCTACCTGCTTCTAGTTCTTGTGAATGTACAGTCGCATTAGAAATTATTGTCTAAAAGAATAATATTGTAAGTATTATGGTAAGAAAAAAGGTCAGTTAGAATTAAATAATGATATAATAATGTTGCAAATAATATTAAGAACGATATCTAAAATAAAAGAATAATGTATAAGTAAATCTGACGTTCCATTGTGACCAGATTGTGGCGAGTACTCGGCTTTGGAGCGCTCCAAAACCCTCGCAAATGCATGTGAATAAAAAAAATTATAGGTCAAATTGTTTGTTACCGAATTGCCTACAATATTGGTTTGAGGTAATTTTCCGATAAAATTGAAAAAAAAAAAGTTATAACACAAAAAGGGAAATTTTTGGAAAAACTTTCACATATTTTTGTTAATAACTTTTTTATTTTCAATATTATCGGAAAAAGTTAGATATACAAAATTGTAGACAAAGCGATTTGCTACAAATTATGTCTTCACAAATTTTTGGTGAGATGTATAGTTTAAGAGATATGGATAATAAGGCGTTTACACCCCTTTTCCAATATGGCGGCCGCGGGACAAGGGTTGCAACCCCACAAACTCAGAGATAAGCTTCTAGCAACCCCCCCCCACATGTCCCAACAATAAAATTGCGTCCTCTGATAAATGCAAGGTTCGGCCTAAAAATTGTAACATTTCAATGGACTATTACCTATATCACATCTGAAATAGTTCGGAATTTGGATTCCTCTTTTGATTTTATCTTTATGATAATGTTTAACTTGTTATTAGTTTTGTGAGATCTTAATAACAACGATAAGGCAGTGTACTGACCTTTACCACGAAGTATGCGTAATTCAATCTATTTCACTTGGATGTATGAATAAGCAACGTATCCCATGAATCTACGTGTTCGCCCAACGATTTTAAAGCACGAGAATGAGTATTATACCTTTAAATTTTCTAAATTCCCTTCCAGGTTCTTCGACAATTTCGGCAACTCCGAAAGCATTATCACGTTAATGTGTACTGATTCTTTTATTATGAAAGGGATTTTTCACAGATCAAGCGGTAATTTTTCTCGAAAGCTTCTTAATATCGAAAAAACTTCACCTTTCAATAAAGATTTCAAGTACCTACATAATGCATTTTATGTGTATCAGAAATCTGTTCATTACTCCTGAAGGAATGATAGAAATCAAGGCAATTGCCGTATCAACTCTCGAATGTGACTTAGTGTCTTTTAGGCAACCTTATATTAATTTTTTGATTATTCTGATTTTTCCGATGAATCACATCTGTTTTACTGCATGGATTGAGTGCTTCTATGTGAATTTAAATAATGCACTCGCTCAATGTCTCCTCATTCGATATGTCACAATCAACATTCACAATCCTTTAATGGATATTTTCAAATGTATCTAACAGAAGTTCAATATTGTTTAACCGTAATTTAATTTTTTCAACTCTGTGATTTCGTTTCGCTTGGGACATTTTGTACTTCAAGTGTAATAGTTACTGTTTAAAAACGATATACGACAAAGATATAGATAAGAATATAGAGAAATGGAAATGAAATTGCCCCTTAGCTTTGTGTTTTGTCGAATTTTGATTTGATTCGCTTCATTTTCTCACACAAGTATTTCCGATAACTGTGACCACCGCTTGAGATTTTTGTATATTTGAAAACTACACACAAATTGTTGTGTATAATTACAATTTTATTGAAACACCACTCATTTTTTTTTCAAAATATATTTTCATAATATTTTTCATAAGATATTTGTTCATTTGCATAAATATTTCACACATTCGAAGTGGTTTTTTGGTTACATCTGTTTTTTGTCATTCCGCACATTTCATCACGGGTTGAAGAAGGTTGCAAAACCTTATAGCCTCCAGCCCTTTGAATATATATTTACTAAACAATGTATCCCAAACCAAAGAACTAAATAAACGATTTGATTTGATTTGATTTGACATTTCATTAGTTCCTCATAGGTACTAGGCTCATCTCTTGGAAAGACCGAAGCCTCATTCTGAGTGACTTTGAGCTCTCGACTCAATATGGAATACTGATTTCAAGTAGCACTCGAATTCTTTGAAGTGAACATGTATTCACTTCATGTATAAAAATATTCAATTTGCTGGTGGAGTTAATTGTAATGATTCTGTTTACGAAAGAAGATGAAACATCATTCAAGTTATTTATATTATTAAGGTTTTGATTTAATTCAAATTTTGTTTGTGAAATCATTGAAAAAAATTTACATAAACTGATATCTAAAAGCAAATTCCACCAATATATTATACTAATATCGCAAATTACACTGCTTACTACATATTAACGAATTTAAATAGATTTGGCAACAACCATGACGTACAATACATACAGATATTGAAAAATATATATTTTCGGAAGCAAAATCAAGCTACAGATGGTTTTTATATACATTGGGCGCAACTTAATTACGAAAGTGTAATGACGCAAAATACAACTCTAAATGGAAAAAAAGTATACACGAAAAAAAAAATTGGAAAATTGGAGATAAAAACGCCAATTCAGATTCGTCATGTCTAAAAGAACCAGTATACACAATCATAACAATATAATTCGGGGTATTTCTCGGGGACGCATAATACACCCGTTTTTGGAAGGACGCAAAATAAATACAAGGATGTATATATATATATATATATATATATATATATATATATATATATATATATATATATATATATATATATATATATATATATATTATATATATATATATATATATATATATATATATATATATATATATAAATATTCAGGGAGCAGTCCATACCGATGTTGTATAGACGACTGTGTAGACAATATTTGTAGTAATGTATAGACAAAAATAAACATAAGAAGTGAAAGTATAAAACAAAAACACAACTACTACTTTCAAGAGTGAATATTAAGTGCGTTCCGAAAAACATCGAACTTGTTGAATGGAAATACCATGCAATTGTATGTGGTATGTGGCATGCCTTCAGTGGCACTGACGGCATTTCCCTTATGGGAATATTCACTGACATGTATCCATACAATTACAAGTTTCGATTGGTTTTCCAAGCGCACCTAGGACCTATCTTCAAAATGAGGCGAATATTGATCACGTGAGCGCCCTGTATCGAAGAAATCTATCGGAGAAAAGACGTAGAAACTCTCCCTAGCGTTCTAGATTCCTACTCATGACAACAGTAGTGCGAGTGTGAGGCTTTGTTGAGCGATTAGGCATGGGACCATTCTTACACATTGCGGACACTTTTCTGTAGTGTTCGAATTGAATGTCTTCAAAGCCTAACACTCGCACTAATGTTGTCATGAGTAGGAATCTAGAACGCTAGGGAGAGTTTTTACGTCTTTTCTCCGATAAAGGGAGCTCAAGTGAATATTCACTGAGTACCTATGGACCTATGGGCGTTTCGAAAGTCTTGATTGATAGATTAAATGGACTGATCATTCATAATGATCATGAAACAATTTTATCCTATTACCATTCAATGAGATAGATGAATTTTTCGAAACGCTCTTAATATTCACTCTCAAAAGTGATGGGTTTGTTCTCGTTGACAACATTTGTGTAGACAGCTCCCTGAGAGTTTCATTTGAAATATTTCGATTAAGAGTCTCAGTATTTATATATATATATATATATATATATATATATATATATATATATATATATATATATATATATATATATAATGAGAGGTAATAATAAAAACTTGTCTAAAAATCACTGACTGAACAATTCTTTATTCGACTAGTTTTGCCTTTTACAGCATTATCAAGAATGCTAATTCTTGATAATGCTGTAATGCTGGACCGATATGAATTGGAGTTGCATCTTAAAGTGGAGACCTCGATAGCTTAGCGCTCAAAAGTTCCAGGGCGTAAACCTGAACACCTGGGTTCAAATCTCAGTCGAGTTCGAAAATTTTGAGATGTGACTGCAATTCTCAATTTGAGAATTGAACATATGAACATTGAGAATTGAAGTCACCTCTAAAAGTTTTTGAACTTGACTGGGATTCGAACCCAGGTCTTCAGGTTTACGCCCCACTGTTTTTAACCACTAAGCTACCGAGGTCTCCACTTCGAGATGCAACTTCAATTCAATTCTCTATTGTCACTATAAAATAATACAATTCTTCATAAACGCACGTGGTAGGTTAACACGAAAAAATTTCAATTATATATTATATATATATATATATATATATATATATATATATATATATATATATATATATATATATATATATATATATATATATATATATATATATATCATATATATCAGAACAAACATGATAAATCAGAGAATTAACAGATCTGGACTTTAAAGATGATATTACAGATGAGGAAAAGTAGAAATACAGTGATCACATTGATTGACTTTCAGAAAGCATAAGATTCAGTAGATCGCGAAACTCTTTTTAAAATCATGAAAAATTTCGGACAGAACGTAAGGCCCGAAAAATTATAGAACAGACTATTACAGGTACAACTTCCTAAATAAAATTAGAACTATCAGATCCTTTGAAATCAAAACCGGTGTTCGGCAGGGAAATGGACTTTCGCCAATCCGTTTCCATATTGTCTTAGAAAAAACCATTCGGGAATGGGAACTTCATGCGAAGAGCAAACAAGTAGGTATCAAAAAGAAAATCAAATAAATGTCAAATGCCTCGCCTCTGCAGACGATATTGCTATTATCGTAAACAACAGAACTGAAGCCATTCTCGCCGTAGTCATGCTACTTGAAATTGCGCAGAAAAGCGGGTTACCAATTTCTTATGATAAAACTGAATATATTGAAAGAAAACCAGAAAATAAATCTTGTCTTATCACAAAACATGGTGAAATTCTGCAAGTCGGCCATTTTAAATACCTCGGAGAAGTTATACAGTCCTCAGGTTTGAACCGAATCGCTAATGAACAGAGAATTACCAATATCCAAAGGGCCTACAAGCTAATATGAGCGTACTATAACAAAAAAAGCATTTCGAGAGGCGCAAAATTGAGGCATTATAACACAACGATTTTTCCACAAGCAATTTATGCAGCTCAAACAATGGTTATTGGCCGTCATTCAAGAATTAGAGAAATAGAAAAACAAGAACGGAAAATTTTCAGAAAGATTTAAGGGCCAATCAATAGAAACGGCATTTTGATGGAAAGACCTCGGAATGAATTTTATCAAAAGACAAATACGATAACGGAAGAAATTAGAAAACGACGAACAAAGTTGTATGCACGTGTCTACAGAATGAAACAGTCCAGAATACCGAAGAAACTACTCGATATAATTTTATGAAGAGTAAATGCGAAACGGAGTGGCTAAAAGATATCCAAAAAGATCAAAACAGATCAAAGTAAAAAATCTCGAAAATCACACTAAAATCGCACATGTGAAGTTTGAGCAAAAATCAACACGCCAACCTGGAATAAAATGGACAGATGAACAGAAGAAAGAGCAGTCAGGGAGGATGAAGCGTTTTTGGGAGGCGAAAAAGATGTACAATATTAGTTTCATTAATAACTAATTAATAAACTCATTAGTTTTGACCAAGTTGCAATTCGCAATGAAAGTTCACCTATATAGACTTCTTCATATATAAAACTTCACAGTTTTAATTTAAATTATCATAATTTGACTACAAGAAAGCCTGACTGATATTGAAGACGAGGTTGATTTCAAATATATTTTTGGGATAGTTGAGCAATTTCGTTTAATAGCTAGGAAAATATGTATCATTTACTCGCGGAGCCATATTTGTACACGATTTTTCTGTTCAAAATGATTGTCTATTTTGAATTGGTGGAAGGATGAAATAATTGCTGTAGTATTCACATACTTACTCGTCTCAATTAAAATTGAAATTTAGCTCGTGATTTCACAATCACGAGCTAAATTTCACTTCTTAAATCACAAATTTAAGAAGTAACATCCTAAGTACCAGCAGATTGAGGTCCGGTTACTACGAGATCTCTCGAATAAACCTATTTCTTTGTCGAAACCAACTTATGTTTAAACCACAATGTATTATCATTTTATTATTCAGCCTATTGGTTTCATGTGTTAATCTGGATGGAGTGAAAAATGAGTAACAGTTTTTGGAAAACGTATTTTTTGTTTTCATTAAGAAGTTTTTGAAATGTTGCTGCAAGTACAGAATAGAACGAAATGTTCTACTAGTAAATGATAATTCCATTTATAAAACGTGAAATATTTTTCATCGTGCCAAAAGATGTTGAGCAATGTGGTAAATTTATTCATACGATCTGAAAAAAACAAGAAAAATTTTGATTTTTTCAAATGTATTTGAGAAAAGATGACAAGAAGGATGAAATCCATTCCGAAATTCACTCAATATGATTGATAATTTTTGAAGAGTTTCTATAATAATCGTGTAGGTAAATATATTATACCTGAATATTTGAATTCACAAACAAAAAGGGAATCGCCGAGTTACTAGTACTGTTGCAAATTTATTTCGAAAAATTTATTTCTGAATGTTTGTGAACTATTGTAAACGAAAGTTCCAATAATTTTAATTTTTTTGATACAGTATACTTTATCGAAAGAATAATTATTAATATTATTATCATTGTTCTAAGAGCCGAGGTCCGAGACTTATATACTCGTAGCTCCGATTGGACCTACAGTTTAACGACTTTTCGAACGACCAAATTTTGGAATCATACCCACCCGCACCAGTAAGTCGTAAGCGTTATGGGTCACTATACCGCTCGACTACTGAGCGTCTGAAAATTTAATAGAATTATGTATAGAAATAATGAAAATTTATTGAACCTTCATATCGGAAATGGAAATTGCCAAAAAAGTGAGCAATACATTTTTCGAAATATATTCGAAAAATTGATCGAAAGATCGATTCGAATTTTATGTGATGCCAACGTTACGTATAAGACCGTGAACATATTATCTAGCTCTATAACTATAAAATTCTTTTGGTTAATTTGAATTTTTCGAATGAATGTTTTAGACATTCAAAAACTTTTCCATAAAAATTTTTGCGATATTTCCTTAAAAATATCGCAGAATCGGTCCCTGAAATACGTCTCGAAATCAGTCTCGCACCTGTATATATATATATATATATATATATATATATATATACATATATATATATATATATATATATATATATATATATATATATATATATATATATATATATATATATATATATATATATATATATATATATATACACAGGGTGAGTCAGGGTAGATGCGATGGTCTGGTATTACAAAACGGTTAATTTTTGAAATAATATGACCACGCAGTCATGTGGGGATTTATTAAAGGTACATTCTAAAAATAATTTGATGCATACAGGCTTGTTCCAAAAATGTGTGACATACAAAAGTTATGTTTTTTTTTTATGGAACGCCATGTATTTGACTACGTTTTCTGGTTTCACGTAAAAAATAAGATATACTTTTTTAAATATGTCATATACCTAACAATTATAGTTTTTGAGATATTTTGATTTTTCGGAAATTGAAGAGTCCACAAAAAAGATAGCATCTCCGAAACAGTTGACTTCAGCGAAGTGAAATTTTTGGTGTGAATAGAAGAGCGATTACGGAAAGTTTAATGAATTTACATTCACTTAAAGTTTAACAGGATGTTCAAAATTTGATGCTAACATATTCAAACGACAATATCATGCTTATTTCAAATGGGACACACTGTATTTTTCAAACCCATCTTGTACCAAATTATATTCTCTTTGAAAAGTTACAGAGATATTCCATTATATATGTCCATTTTTAATAGTATTAGAATTATTTTCAATTATGTGATATAATCATTTGTTCTGATCTATTTTGTCTCCTCAGTATGCAAAACTGAGAATTTTTCTGTTACTTTTATCAAAAACTTATCACCTTCAGAAACTTGAAAGCGACCTTGTTAATTCAATAATATGTGGAATCAACACTTAATTACTTAACTTCAATTATTAAAGTATATAAATATTCGAATATAAAACGATATTCCAACAATCACAATTACCACAAATGTTCAAAATGGCGACCATCCTGTTGAATGCACAGTGCTATTCGGTTTTCAAAATGATTTCCCACATTTCGTAACATATTTGAGGTTATTGTTTGAAAAGCTTCTCTAATTCTTTGCTTCATATTTTTTTCCGTGGTCGGGGGAGTGCTGTAAATTCTGTTTTCAATACAATCCACAAAAAAAAGTCCATTGGAGTCAGTCCAGGGGACTTAGGTGGCCAAACATGTGGGCTTACGAGCACTATCCATTTGTTAGGAAACTTTCTGTTTAAATAGTTTCGCACATTAACTGAAAAATGTGCGGGAGCCCCATCTAATTGCAACATCATTTGTATTCTAATATTGATCGGAACATCTTCCAAAAGTTCTCAGAAGTCTTTTTTTGAAAATCTCAAAAATTTACGGCCGTTTAAATGACCATCAAAGAAATACGGGCCGATAATTTGGTCGGCTACAATTCCTTCATATACATTAATACTCCACCGGTTCTGAAGATCTATTGTGTGGAACAAATGTTGGTTTTCAGTATCGTAGTAGTAGCAAATTATGGATTATATATGTGATTAAGGTCGATTAATCGCTAAACAGTACATTAAAAAAGTAATTATTTTTTTCACCAACTTTATCCAATGCCCATAAACAAAAATTTGGCCGTCTTCGAAAGTCTATCCAATACAGGCTTCGATGCATTTCGTTGTGGAAGGGATGGTACTTATATTCTTTCCAAATTCTAGACACACTGGACCGACTTAATCCGTTCTCTCGTGCTAAAACTCTAGTGCTAATGTTCGGATTTTCAATTACCGACCCCATTACCATGAATTGATTTTCATCATCATCGGTGACGGGTTTTGTGCATGTCTTCATTCGATATTTTACGCTTCCTGTAGCTCTGAAGGTTTCAAATAGTTTTTCAAGCGTCCTCTTATCAGGATGTCGCAGATTAGGGTACTTCTGTGCATACACTCGTTTTGCCAAAAAACAATTCTCAGAACATTCACCGAGTACTAAAATCACGTCAATTCTTTCTTGTATT